AACAGCCTACGACAAGACTTTTGCTGAACACTAGTCTTCTCTACGCAATGCCACAAATTCTGGTCCTGCCACTGTAATCCTATTGTCTTACTTCAAGTCTTCAATCCATCAAATGACGGCCACCCTACATTTCGCTTAAGGGTACCATTTCATCTAAATGATACGTTGTACTATGTCAGTAACTCTGTTTCTGCCGCAAATATCATAGTTATGGATTCCATCTTCAGCTTCTATCAGCACCAACTATATTAAGCTTCCTCATAAATTTTAATACAACAAGATTTGCGTCAAATTAAGTATCCATTAATTATTTTTTTATGCTGAATTTTGTTTGCCTACTTATTAAAATTAATAATCATTACGGAATTAGTTTATTTAAGTTAAATAAAAAATAATACGAACACATAAAATAATGATTACTTAGGTGTAACGTACGTTCGTTTACGGAAGGAATTTATTATGAACTTACCCTATTTCTAGTTAGTTTTTATAGAGGGTTTGATTAATAGACGACAAATTTACTATGTTTTAATGGAAATACCTATTAGACGTTTTTTGTGTAATATACAAGTAATAAAGAAAGGTAATTCAAATGGATGTTACTAATTTTTATTAAAAAATTTAGTACCCTTCCTTTAGAATCAAGAAGACTGCTCTTGGATTAGCTCTGCCGTAACAAATTTGATCGTAATGAATCACGAATCAAATACACATACCCAGTCGCTCGAAGCATAAACGTGGGCTTCATTCAAATCAAAATTTACTTCCAAAACCAAGTACCTATAGTTAGTGCCAAATCGATTGAGAAAAACGGACAATGACCTCAGATGTGAGCTGAGTGTCAAAAGGCGTAACTTCCTAAATCTCAATTTAGATGTGATAACAATATTTAAATATTGATACTAAAAACAATTCTAGGTCAGCACATATGTTTTGTTTTTTTTTTTTTTCTTAAATAATAGTGTCTGTGGTTCCTATAAACATCGTAAAATTTTACGGTACAGCGCGAAAAATGTGTTACATTTTATATTTCAATTCATGGTAAGTAACGCAGCAATTCATTTAATAAAAATTTAGTATTAAAAAAAAATTGAAGCAATATAATCACTATATTGAGATTTTGCAAATTCATTCATTTAAAATAAACAAAACGCGCGTTACGTCTGTATGTTCTAAAAGAAACGTGACAAGGGCAGCCAGAGATGCGTTACATTTTTGGGCTGGCCCGCATGCACCGAATAAAAATAAAGTTCTTATATAATATTGAAAATAAAGCTTTATCTTCTGAATAAAAACGTATTTATTCAGTGTCGTTATCACTCGAATCTTTATACGTGTTATAAATTAATGTTTTGTGTTGTTAAATGAATAACGTACTTTATAACAATAGATGATTTTTCTTCTACAGCGATCTTTTACATAACTTTCTTAATAATAGTTAATAAATATATATTATATCAATCATTATAAAAAATAATAAAAAATTCATTATAAATAAAGAAAATACTACATATAAAAGTGCCTATATATTGAAGGTTTGTAGCCTGGTTAAACGACCGAAAGGTCATTGTCCGTTTTTCACAATCAATTTGGCACATACTATAGAACGAATTCCGGTACGCGCTTTAAATCGTATAAAGGAAATTTTTGATTAACTACATCTTAATTAAAAAAATCTGTGTATGACGTTTAATCTGGATTATATACAACTTAATTTAAATGTATATTTATGTTTATGCGTATATGTGTGTGCTTGTATATTCACAATATATTGAATATACAGCCCTTCACAAGTCCACCACATACTGAATATAGGCCTCCCCCAAGGAATGCCACAAAGCACGGTCCTGAACCATCTGCATCCATCGACTTCCTGCATGTCTTACCAGGTCGTCACTTCATCGAGTGAGGAAACGCCCTATACTTCACCTGCCGGTACGAGGCTGCTACTCGAGAACTTTTTCCCCATCGGTTATTTTCGGTTACATTGCCACTTCAGCTTACTAATCCGTTGGACTATCTCGGTTACTCTGTTTCTACTGCAGATATCCTCATTTCTAAGTTCATGAGGCAGAAAAACTCCAAGCATAGCCTTCACATAGATCGCTGAGCGGCCGTGAGCTTCCTCATACGGCTAGTAATGAAGGAGCACTGGTTGTACAGTCTAGTGTTGAGCTTTTGTGGTATGCCTGACGAGAAGATGTGTCGTAATCTTCCGAACGTTGCCCAGCCGAGTTGAATTCGTCGATTTGCCTCTCGGTCGAAAATAGACTTACCTAGGTAAACGTACTCGTCAACAACTTCGAGCATAATGCTCCCAACAACTACCGGCATAGGTGTGACATGGACACTGAACATGATCCTAGTTTTGTCCATTTTCATCTTAAGACCTATCCGTTGGGAGACACCATTGAGGTCATTGAGCATAGTGATTAGGTTCTCCAGCGATTCTGCATATATATCTGCATACTATATCGTCGGCAAATCGAAGATGAGTGATGTACTCGCCATTGATGTTAATACCGTATCCTTTCCAGTCCAGTAGCTTTAAAATGTCTTGAAATGCAGCGGTGAAGAGTTTCAGGGATATTACGTCACGCTGTTTTACACCTCTCTGCAGTTAGATAAGTTTCATACTCTGGTTCTGTACACAGATAGCCATCGTAGCCATACTGTATAAAGACTTCAGCACTGCGATATACAGACAGTCAACTTGGCATCGCTGTAGGGACTGCAGCACCTCCCAAATTTCGACGGAATCAAAGGATTTCTCATAGTACATACACGCAAGAAAAAGTGGAGAATTGTACTTTTCGGACTCGGCCTTAGCACCATTGACCATGTGGTCAATGGTGCTAAAGCCTTTTCGGAAATTGGCCTGTTCGGGTGGCTGAGTGCGGAGTCCGCGTGAAAGGCGATTAGTAATGACTCTCGAAAATAGCACGTAGACGTGGCTTAGAAGTTCAATCGGTCTGTATTTCTTCAAGAGAGCGTTGTCACCTTTCTTGAAGAACAAGATTACCGTACTTCTACTCCACGCCTCCAGGGTAGTGTCACAATGCAGGACGAAATTGAAGAGTTTCTACAGGACTTTGAGTATCGGTTTTCTACCCGCTTTCAGAAGTTCCGCTGTAGCTCCATCCTCGCCCGGAGACTTGCCTTTTTTATGATGCTAGAGAGATATTCTAATCTCGATCAGACTTACTTCCAGGATATCATAGGAATAGTGCTGGATAAGACTTGCTATTGCATAATTATTCACACTTGCTGCATAAGGCTCCAATGTTTACGTGCACGGCTGTCTATAAAACCTCTCAATCTCATTCAGAATCTCGGGTATCCTGGCGACGTATTCTGTCTTCAGCTTTGACAGTTAGCTCTTTCTGGAAGCCAGGTCTCTGGCAAGGACTTTGGAGCCCTGGTTTTGCTCGATTGCTTTCTCAGTACGAGCTGTATTGAATCGCATGCATTCGGAGATCTGTTTGTTCAGTTTGACTGTGTGCTGTCAAATCTGTAGCTTCTGTAGCTTCATCTCCCGTCTAACAATATTGCGATTAAAAGTGTGATCAGAGAGTTTTTGTATTGCTCTGCAATGGGTCTTACAGCACTTAGCTCCGATCGCATGGACGGTTTCCACAAGCTTGTCACTCGTATCTTTCACTTCATTGCAGTTTTCTAGGCCCTAACAAAGATTTTGTCACTTGAACTAAAAGTTTTCGAGGCTTTGTATTAGTGCGCGGGGGGGACGGAGCGTTGACTTCATTAGACATGACCTTTCCAACTTAACGTTTAGGTTCATTGTGCCTTTCGCTCTGGTGATAGCTGCCAGTTTTCACCCTTGCGATCACTGAGACATCACTGAACAGTTGACGTCTTTTCGTTATAATGAAGTCAATCTCATTTTTTGTCAACTCCACATTCTGTAGGATTGCTTTTGAAAAAGTTTATCATAAAAAGTTCTTTATAAAGAGTCCCTCTTTCTCCATAAAGTCAGCCAGCTGATGGCACCGTGGGTTTCGTTGCCCTATTCCTAATTTCAATACGAAATTATTGAAGAGCTCTGAAGTTCTCTTTGTGCCTAGTTTCGCGTTGAAGTCTCCCATTAACACTGTATAGTGGGTTTGGAGGAATGCATTTCTCTAGATATATCCTCACACATTTTCTCCACCTTTTCATTGGGATTTGTTGGGGATGGTGCGTAAACCTCTAAACAGAGAAAGAGTGACAAAGCAAATTTATGTTGCAAAAGTGAACGGCAGCGTCGGTAAGGGACGCCCTAGGCTAAAGTTTGTCGACCGAATAGGCGATTTACTGAAAGGGGGCCAAATTAAGTGTACCGTTAACCGATGAGCATGTATACGTAAGTATGTGTATGTGGAAGAGACGAGAGGGGTGTTTCAGGATCGTGCCAAATGGAAGTCTGTAGTCTCTGCCTACCCCTCTGGGTGACAGGCGTGAGTGTTTATGTTATTTAATGTTTATAACAATAATAGCAATGCATCGTCACAGTATCATAGCTGTAAAATTCAAATTGTTTTCAAAAGTCAACGTTCAAGAACGCGATCGCGCATTTGCTAGACCTATTTGCGTTTACCTGAGATTTATTTTGGTACATTTTTTTGGAAAATTTCTTACTTGTTTTATAATTTTATGTAATTTGAATAAATACTAAAGTAGAAATTTACTCTAACTCTTTTCATTTTTTGTGCAAGAAATAAATATTGCTAGAGTTATATGCACAACGAAAGGACTTTTATTTTTTTAAATTCGTACCGCCTCAGACTAATGGTTTATATACCATTAAAATTATTGTTGTTTATATTATTATAGTAAATATAATAATAGAAGCTACATTAATTTACATTTAAATGCAAAAAATACACACTAATAAAATAACAAAATATGAATACCGTTACATTTAAAACTACCGTTAAATATTAAAGAAAAGTTCTCGCCAGACAGTAAGGGAAGAGTTTTATTTTTATAAATTTTCTTTGTTGTTAGTCAAGAGTATTCCTGTAAACATAGGGTTATATTATAATCCACAAAATTAAATGATAATTTAACAATGCACTTAAAGAAAATAAAAAGATTTGGCGCCATTATGTCGCTTGGACAAGTTTGAACCTTAATGTATACGTAAAAACGTGGATAAGTTCCTAACAATTATATTTTAAGTATAATAAAACTTGAACTCACGTAATAAATTCAAAAATTTATTGTTCAAAACTTTAATTCTAAAAGTAGCAGTTTTCTTTACACACACGTAAACTGATCTGTCTAGCTGACTGAAGTACGGGAAGCATACATCAGACCAGAATCATTTTTTTGACTGTTGAATGGTAATCTTGTGTATTTTAATACTAGCTTGACATTGGCAGAATTCTATTAACCCTTCAATATGCACTCGGTCGGATCCGACCAAGCCGATATTCCGTCAAATTCCAAGCGGTCGGATCCGACCACATCCACCCACAGCACTTTAAAACATAAAAACTTATATTTAGAGACTACTTGTCTATGAAGAAGTTTAATATTATAGGTTCCATGTGAAATTTTGTATCCTCTAATGCAATAAAAACTCAGTTAGTTCTATACGAATGTACGACTGTTAGGTGTGGCGTGTTATTGTGTTAAATTTTTGGATTTTTCTAGTTTGTTATTAGTGTTTATTATAGTGTTTTATTATAAAATTGTTACAAAAGTTTTTTGTGAGTGTAATTTATCTTTTTACGTAAACATTTATAAGTTTTAGGGAATATGTAAAAAAATATTCCAAAATATTTAAAAGAGTGTGCTCCTTAGCCAAGTCATTGTATTTAAGCAACAAAATAAAGACTGCTTCTAATAAAATTAAAATAACATGGAGTATAATTAATAGTGAAACTGGTAAGGTCAACTCTCGCAATTCAAACTACCAGTTAAGTTTTAACAATAAATTAACTAAATCAGATCAGGACGTTGCAATAATTTTTGAGAAATATTTTACTGATATTCCTAACTTAACCACTAAGTCACTGAATTCTTCTCCTACCGTCGCCGAATCATTACTTAAACAAAATGTAAATGTGTGTACAAAGAATTTTACATTTCATAAAGTTTCATCAAAAGATATTGTAAAATATTTTAAGACTATTGATATTAAGAGAACCGCCGATCTGTGGGGGATTTCTGTTAAAGTTATTGCGTCTATAATAGATACAATCGCACCTCAACTATCTATTATTTTTAATAGTAGTATCAAATCTGGTGTGTTTCCTGATTTAATGAAGCATAGTAAAGTAATACCTTTATTTAAATCTGGTAGTACATTGGACCCCGCTAATTTTAGACCTATTTCTGTACTGCCAACACTTAGTAAAATTTTTGAAAAAATTATTCTTGATGAATTGTTAATTTTTTAAAATACAAATAAATTACTCCATAAAAATAAATTCGGATTTACAAGGGGTCGCTCGACAACTGATGCTGGTGTTGAGCTGATTAAATATATATTTAATGCATGGGAGAATTCACAGTATGCTTTGGGTTTGTTCTGTGACCTATCTAAAGCCTTTGATTGTGTTCATCATGAAACATTAATCAGGAAACTTCAACACTACGGTGTAAGAAATGATGCTCTTAAATTAATTATTTCATATTTAAGTGACAGAACACAAAAAGTTGTTATTAATAGTATGAGTTCTTCCGGGTCGATTGTACAAATGGGCGTGCCTCAGGGCTCAATTCTCGGCCCCTTTCTGTTTCTTGTATATATCAATGACTTACCTTACATAGTAGGGGATAACCATGATATAGTATTATTTGCTGATGATACTTCATTAATTTTCAAATCAAAACGACAGTTATTAAATTACGACGAAGTAAATAATGCTATAGCTAAGTTAGTTAATTGGTTTAATGTTAATAATTTGCATTTGAATGGAACTAAAACTAAATGTATGAAATTCGTAACTCCTAATGTTAAACATGTCAATACTAATGTAATTTTAAATGGGGAGGAACTGAGTCTTGTTGATACCACCATTTTTCTTGGAATCACACTGGACGCAAAGCTTCAATGGCTCCCCCATATATCAAAACTAGCTAGCAGACTTAGTTCTGCAGCATATGCTGTAAAAAAGATTAGAACTCTTACCAGTGTTGAAACAGCTAGAATAGTTTACTTCAGTTATTTCCATAGCATTATGTCGTATGGTATTTTGCTATGGGGACACGCGACTGACACTGAAGTTATATTTATTTTACAGAAGAGGGCCATTAGAGCAATATATAATTTAAAACCAAAAGAGTCACTGAGACAAAAATTTAAGGAAATTAATATATTAACTCTGGCCTCTCAATACATTTATGAAAATGTAATGTACGTACACAAAAATAAAAGTAGTTTTGCGAAAATAAGTGATATTCATTCTGTAAATACTAGGAGCAGACACAAGCTGGTAGTACCAGTTACTCGACTCCACCGAGTCAGTAATTCATTCTTGGGGCGATGTATACGCTTTTACAACAAAATCCCAGAAAATATACAAAATTTGTCATACACAAAGTTCAAAAATGTTATTAAACTAAGTTTGTATAAAAAGGGTTATTATAATATTAAGGAATTTATAGATGATAATAACCCCTGAGAAGGGTGATCGCTACCAAGCTATTTCTAATTTGTCTTGTGTTGTTGATTGTAAACATGATTGTAAGCTATTATTAAAAAAAATAGTCCCGCTGGGTTTCTTGCTGGTTCGTCCCAGGACAGAGGTTTTTTTGCGAACCAGTGGTAAATTGGTAAATTAAAAAAGTGACTTTCAATAAGTATTTTTATAATCTACATTGAATAAAAAAGTTTCTATTTCTATTTCTAGTAATATATAAAAATAATTGTGATATTAACGCTGCTGTCCAGCGCTGGATATGTACATTTTTTACTATGAAAATACAATTAAAATCTATTTATAATGAAATAAAAGCAATAAATAAGTAACATAACGTAATAAATAAAGAGAAATAAGTATTATATTGAAGTTTATAATGAATTTTATTGAAAATAAATGTACGACAAATTCCATGCTAGGTTATTTTTAGTGAAGCATTGTCGAAAATTTTAGTTGGAACTGAGAGGTTAAGAGAATCCATAAAGAAAAAGAGAAGGAGAAGAATATAATACAAGAAAATACTTCTGAACATGGATAGTGCTAATATAAAAAAGCTATATCCATAATTACATATAATTACAAAGCATAAATTCAATTATTCAAATAAAGTATAATATTTACTCTTTGATAAAAAAACGTACAATAGGACAAGATAAATAATTAACATATTCAATAATGATTAATATCTTGTCATAATTTGCAATTAACATTATACAATATAAAATTAAAATATTTGCTTAAAAAAACCTATACAAAACCTCGCAAGTCGTAAAGTGATAATTCAATTATCCACTGAGATGGCTTTTTCAGGTAATAAATTTTTATCTGCATCTAATTGGTTAGTGCCCTTTATTTCATCCTCTATCTCTTGCAATGTTCTGTCCTTAGTTTCTGGCAAAATAAAGTATAAAATTGCTAAACAAAATATTATTATCAAAGCATACACAGCATAAGTACCCGAAACACTGATAAATTCTAACATCATAGGTGTTAATTTTAATGTAAGGGCAAGGAAAATTGAAAATAATATTCCTGATATACAAGAACATATTCCTCGATATTCCAAAGGAAAAACTTCTGCTGATATTGCAAACGCTACCGGCACTAAACCAATGTGAGCTATGAAAGTATGTAATAATATTAAGACCGGGATGAACCATGAGTCTTGAGATAATATATCATATTTGGATTTCAAAACTACCATTAAACTTATAAAGAACATTATTGCAACTGTCAGTGAACCTAGACTAAATAATAGCGTACGTCTTTTAAATATTCTTATTACAAAACATGATATACTTAAAGCGAAAATTAACAAGAGATCAGATACTATGGAACAGTACATTGCTATTGATTTACTGCCAGTAATTTCTACAAATATTTGCGTTATATAAGCCAATAGAAAGAATCTGCCACAAGCATCAATACATAAAGTGACAAGTGCAACTATAAAACAAGATTTCTGCATTTCTTTATTTTTAATTGTTTTCATAAAACTATTCACAATTGAAATCTTTCCAGATTTCTTGATTACTTCCTGTCGCTCCATCTGTGATTTTAATAACTCTTTTATCTCTCTTTTACTTTTTACAGAGTTTCCATTTAACCATGTGAAGGCTTTTTCGGATTCGCCGAATCGTCCTTTCATAGCTAAAAAAGCAGGGCTCTCAGGCCAGAACAACATAAATATTGCAGCTAATGCTGATGGAATTATACAAAATGCAGCTATTTGTCTCCACGTACATATTATTGCAAAGGAATGACAAGCCAATGAACCTACACCTAATGATATTTTCTTTAAAGTCGTGAAATAGCCTCTTCTGCATGGATGTGCATATTCAGATAAAGTTACCGCACTAATAAATATTCCGCCTACACATAGGCCATGGATAGCTCTAGCAAGAACTAAGACCGTGATACTGTTGGCAAGATAGAGTGTGAGCCAGCCGACGACCATTGTGACATTCAATCCGATACCGACCACCTTCCGACCGAAGCTTTGAAATATAGGTGATAATATTAAGAAGCCGACGATTCCAGAAATGCCATTACTTGATGCTGAAAACAAAAAACATATTATATAATAGAAATATAGCCAGGCAGACATATATATATATATATATATATATATATATATATATATATATATATATATATATATCATGTGGAGGGTCCACAGAGCGCGTTCGCTTCGGGGATATCAGCTTCAATACCGGCTCTACCTACGAACTTGTCCAGCAACCCTGTGGTACCAAGCCTGCAGTCGGGTAACGTTCCGCCCGAGTTTTTTTATGCATATGATGACCATGATGTAGAATATGAGTAAGCGGCTTTTGCAACAATCTAGTGATAAGGTTAAAATAACTGATGTGTTTCTGCCATTTTGTGACCCAGATGGTAATGTTGGCGTACGTGAGGGTGCAGTCACATTTCTTTTGCTAAAACACCTATCAACTCAGTGATTAAGACATTCGAATGAAAGTCACTAACCTTTTGAAGGGACGTGCTAAAATGTGTTCCGATAACTGGCTAGTGACGACTTCTACCTGGTAAGATTTGCGTCAAAACATTACCACCACCTTCGAACCTGAAAGCCGTTACTCGCGTGACGCGTTTAGAGAACACGTTTACGGCTCTTCTAAAGATATCGCAGAGTTCTTATCTCGGACATGGCTTCTATGGAGACGCGTGAGAAAAGACAAACTTGAAGACAGTGATGCTGTAGAGGTCGTTTTCGGAACTATGGGTGACTAACGCCTTGGAATTGAGTTAATGAATGTTAGAGCCACCTTGGTGCCAATTGATATTCGTTTCATCCATTCGTGTTAAGCGTCCCATTGCATCCCAAAATAATTCAAATGTACCGCCCCAAAAACGTTTTTCTTTTGATAACAGAAATTCTTCTTGTAGTATTTGCGAAAAGATCACTCATACTTCTGGTAATTGTAATTCTAATTCTAATTGAAAAAGAAAGTTATTCAAATGTCCTTTCATTCGGTAAGAGTCGGTCGGCGCCTTTAGCTACAACTAGTGATAGCAAATTTTGTTCCTTTTTTCAAAGCCTGGCCACACATTCGAGTCGTGTTTTCACCGCGAAAAACAAATAACTTCTAATACAAATTAATTGAGTGATAGTACCCGCAGTTCTATCTTAAATATCGTGCGCGTTTGAGTAGGTAATTTGCTTATAAATATTGTTTTCGATAGCGGCGCCGAGTGTTCCATTATGCGTAAATCCAATCCGAATTAATTTCCAGGGCATAAGAATCAAGTTGTGAACTATTTATGTAGAATAGGTCCATTCCCTGTTATATCTACCAGCACATTAATAGCTATTATGCGTGATTAATAATGTTCCTATAGAGATTTTGTTTCACGTACTACCCGACTTTGAAATAACTTCAGACCTTTTAATTGGTGCAAACTTACTACATGAAACGGGTCTAAGTGTAATTATTACCCGAAATAGTGCTACCTTAATTCTTAAACCTCATGTCATGCATATACGATCACATAGACCTATTTTTGAAAATTTTAATCCTGATTTAGTTGATGACTTTGAGATAAATCAACTACTTGCTCTCCTTAATAAGTACTCTTTCGTTTTTACTCAAGGTTAGATAAATAGATAGATAAAACCGTTTATTGGTTTCTTCAATCACACACGTAAATTCAGTGATTAAACTAGATATACAAATCAAAGTATTATGAAAAAAACACATAAACTTAGATCTAAATGTACATGTGTGTTTACATTTTAACAAATGGCTCCTAGCTCAGCGATTTCTATTGCTCAGAGAGCAAACACTGATTTTCAGCTATTACCTTCGAGGTGGCGAGAAGAAAATGAGCACAATAGTATAATCAGAAAGAAAGAAAGAAAAAAAGACTATTTTTTGAACGTTATTATTATTGTAGCGTAATTATGTCTGAAAGATGTGTCCTTTCAGCTCTATGATTTATATCTTGGGTTTAATTTAGTAAAAAATTACGAAAAAGATGTGTAAGACTGCGTACCCAATTAAGGGTAGTACCTAAATGACTTAGCCAACCATGATGAGTTAGTAAAAGTAAAAAGAAAAAAGAAAATGCCATGGTTTAAAGCTGGCAAAGGAAGTGTTTGGGAATACCTTGTTTTTATTTATCCAGAAGATATGTTTTGAATTTATTTTTAAACTTGTAGTTGGTGTTAAGATTTCTTATTGGCAGTGGCATGTTATTCCAACACTTCGTTGCCATATATCGGAAACTGCCAGTAAATGCCGCTGTTTTATGGCTGTAATATATATAGGAGTGCTGATCTTGTGGACCTCAATTGTTTTTCATAATTTTGCTTAGCAAACTTTATCTTTGCATGCAAGTACTCTGTTTTTTTTTTTAAACTTTATAACACTAAAGACTAGTCCTCCTAAATGTAGCTCTACGTGAGTCCATATTGAGCATGGAAGCATTGTTCATAACGGGTGTAATGTGATTTCTGGGAGGTACATCAAAATAGAATCGACAACATGCATTTTGCATGCGTTGTATTTATTAGTCGCTTTGTTTTGCTAAAAATCCGGGGTCCATAAACAACATCCCCGTAGTTGAGCCTAGGCAAAACCAATGACTCGCAAAGAGTAATGCGTGATGGTACAGAAAGTTGGTAACGGATCTGGTATAAAATCTTTAGGCGATAAAAATAGTTTTTTTTTTACCATATTAAGGACATGATTTTTAAATGAGATTAGTGTCGAAGGTAATGCCAAGGTTTTTGGCTTCATCCAAGCTCATTATATGTTTACCATGAATAGTAACGTCTAGGTCACCACAAATTCTATTTATTTGCGTCTTTGTGCCTAAATCTTGCGTTAACACTGACGAATTAAAAATGCGTCAAAAAAAACGATAAATACATAGAACGATAGGCACTACCCTTCTTACACTTCTCACCCGACGATCGGACTGTGTATCCCCCGAGTTACTTAATTTGGCCAATTTTTATACCACATCCATTAATTACGATGCATTGCAATGTCATGTGCAACAAAGGATGACCGAGGCGTCAGCGAAAGACAAACTCAGGTTTGACAAAGAACTGGCTAAGGTACATAACTTACATCAGGGAATCTTCGTTTTAATAAAAAATAACCCCAGAAACCAGACTTTGTTGGACCACAAGTTTAGTGTGCCCTACGATATTCATAGAGTACTCTATAACGACCGATACCTCTTGAAGAAAGTTGTCAGTCACCATGGTCGGCCCCGTAAAGTCCCGCATGACCAGTTACGACATGCCCCACAACCAGGTGCAGTCCTAAACCAACAGGCGGCCGTGTCGCTTACAGACACAGACGAGCATCAAGGAGCATCCGGCATTGTTAATACGCTGGTGACAGCACCAGCACCAACCCAACCTGCTTCAAAACTAGCTAGTGCTAGTTCCGGGGTTCGTTTCGATTAGAGACATAGGAAAATATGGAGTCCATCCAGGTGAGAATCTTTCATGTTATATTCTTACTTAAAAATCACATTATAGCGACAGTAGCCTAATGGCAGGGCGCGGACCGCGAACTCAAAAAGGTCGTGGTTTCGAATCCGCCATTCGACTACTGGCGTGAACCACTCGTAACACAAGCAATTTAAGCTTACCACGAGTGGTTAAGGGGAATATTAGTAATGTTTATAGCATTGATAATATTCTTTAACACATAAATAACTACGTAGTAAATTACAAAAAAAAAACAAAGATTTTATTGGCGTGTTGAGTTGTACAATGACAAATATAATGTAAAAGATGTTATTGGCGTGTGGAGCCGACCAATGACCAAATTTATTTTATAGTTGTCATATGGAATGAGCAGTAACACTATTAACGTAACTAAACAATTTTACTTCATTCACATTCAAAAACCATGGAGGTAAATATAAACATGAAGTAATCCTTTAAAAATTAAAATAAATTATAGCCGTGGAGGCGAAAATTTACACTCTCATGTTATCCTACTGTGGCAAGGCGTCCATGACTGCTCAGAACCCAGTTCCCTATTTTCCCGTCAAATAAAGAGACTTCGTGCCTGTCACGGAGCAATGGTCCTAAGCTCGTTACCTTACTCTCCATCAGATCAAAGACTTTGTGTCTATCACAGAGCGGTGTTCCTGATCCTACTTCATCTATTCCTTCAAGTCAAAGACTTTGTGTCTATCACAGAGCATTACCGTCACGTGAGAATGAAACAATACTATACCTAATTGAAAGTACAACTACAATCTGTAACTTTACGTATTTACAAATGCAATGAGAATAATTTATGGTTTTAATTATTAAAATTAAGTGTGCTTTTTAAAGCTTCACTTGCTATATGATCATCTCATCATTATTGGGTATGGTTCCCAATCATGGCTATTATTTACAAAAATGAATACTGTGTTAACGGGTCAATAGAGATAGAAGATTATTCACGGCAGGTGCAGAGCGCGCACCGCCGATCAAAATGGCCGTGTCCGCAAGGACATCTTCTGTTGACAAAGCCTTAGTATAGAAGCCTAAGTATAGTAAGAAAAGCCTTTGCATTGTCTTTTAATTGTTATAAATTATAATAGTCAACAGTGTATAATTATTACTACTACAATTTAATAACAGCAATTTATCAGAAACATAACATGTAACTAGCTAGTTCTTTAAAACTCTTTTGGTTTACAAATCTCTTTATTGACAACTAATTCCTATTAAAACAACTATTTATTCGATTATCAACTTTTGACTCAAATATTGTTTTAAATCGCAGAAATAAATAATTGTCGATTTGATTATTAATCCTGGTAATTGAAATTACTTAAATAATCTAATGAATTCAATAAAAAGTTACTGTCTTACTACAAAAAAGTTAGATTGTTTAGTGAAGTATTGACCAATCAAATCGTCGACCAATCAGAGCACACCTAAGTCGTTATTACGTTTTCCTTATTGTATGAACGCGGGAATAGACTCACTTCAGTTCCTGCGCTCGTCGGTGTAGCTCCATTTTCCTGGTAAAACTTTGTGAGTATTATTTGCGAGTCTTCATTATAAGAAGTGC